GTTGTGAAATGGTAGCTGATACAACCAGAGCACAGTGTGAGCGGAGGTGGAAATGTTGTGAAATGGTAGCTGATACAACCAGAGCACAGTGTGAGAGGAGGTGGAAATGTTGTGAAATGGTAGCTAATGCCACTGAACAATTGGTGTAGAAATTATCAAATGGGGAACTGATTTGCTGTGTAGACTTTCACTGGGAAGAAAAACAAACAATGAAATATTTCAAGAAACAACTTTAAAAAAAGATTACTGCCATCAATCAAAACAGAGGAAGGCAAATTCCGTAGAGCTCTTTCCGGTTCTTTGGCCTCACATTGGTAAGACCTGTTGAAAGAACATGTTGATTTATTGGTTGGGCAATTCTATGCCTTTGCATTTGAGCTACCAAAACTCTTGGCAAACACAACTAGAATGTTCACTGTAGCATCATCTGTAACAGCAAACACTTGTGAATGACCTACCTATGCAGCCCACTGTTGCAACAGAGGTTGAAGGACAGTCCTCTTATTCGGGGAGCTAACACGTAGTTGTGGGAAAGAAGGGCATGGGCTCTGAGTTAGTTAATTGTGCCAACCTGGTCGATAATCACATGTGGGGCTAATTGATAGGCGGAAGGATAAATGAGTGGTGAGCCTTGCCTTTCTAGTTCTCGGGTCTCTTGCTTTGTGATGGTTGCACCGGGTGCAGCTGCCTTAGCAGTTCCCTGCTTCAGCTTGCAAGATTGACTTCCTACAAAATATCCCCAAGGAGAAGCCACATGGACCTATCCCGTTGCAGTCCTGGGTGCTGGAGCAGCCGTGTGGAGACCCCTGCTAGTGCTGAGATGCTTATTTGTTCACTGACTCAGCTTTCCTCCTGCAGTCGGCATCATTGCCTCTGTTTTGTGAGGTGGAGGACTTTGTGGACTGGTGTTGGGTTAATGGGTTAATGGGTTAATGTTGGACTTGTGGGCTTGGGCAGCATTGGGTTGGGATGTTTTCGTGATGCACATTTTCTTTACATAAAACTCTCTCTTATACATGAGTTGCTGTGGATTTGTTTCTCCAAAGTACCCAGGCTAATACAGGCTCTGAGAACCTGCGCTGAAAAGGAAGGAGGCATTTGGAGGAGAAGGAAGAAATATTCAGGACACTTGTGTATGTCCAAAATGTATGTTTGTGTACACACACCTACACACAGATTGTTGAAGAATCCACAAAAAACTTGTAATGCTGGTTCCGGGACAGAGGAGTGGGAGGTTGGGAGGCAAGCGAGTCTTCAGTGTCTGTTGTGTTTCAACTTGCCATTCATATGCATTGCACAGTGACTGCACCCAGGGGCTCAGGCCTAGGAACTGCAGCGTTTCACTCTGCTGTGCGCAGGGCCACTGTGGTTAGAACCGACTCGATGGGATCTAACAGCATTCATAGGCATGGGTTACTTTCAATTAAAAGAAGTGAGACTTTCCGGGTGTTGTTCTTTCTACATGTACTCCCACAGAGCCAAAGAGTCTAAACCAAACCAAATCCATTGCCATCACGTCAGCTGTGACTCGGAGTAGTGCCACAGCGACCCCCCAGGGTTTCCGAGGCTGTACATCTTCACGGACACAGACTGTCACTTCTTAATCCAGCACAGCATTTCTCCGTTAGCAGACTAATGCTGAACGACCGTGGCAGCAGGTTTCTTAAAAGAGTGCCCCTTAAAACATGGCTAACGTGTTTGCAACCCGTTGGACCCTGGCACAGGGGAGAACTAGGCCAGGAATGGTGAGAGGGCGGACAACGCCTCCCCACAGGAACAGACGGCCACGACAGCACCATTCATTGGACATCACTTACTGTGGTCTTTTTGTGGTCAGGAAACTCGAGGCCAAAATAGTCGCCCTCCACGAGGCTCAGGTGGTTGCACACTGCCTCCAGCAGCACTTTCCCCGGGGCCCTTTGCTGTGAACAGAAACAACAGGAGTTACGCCCTGACCACACACCATGGCTCCTCACTCTCTGCCTAGCAGAACGCTCCCAACCCTTCAGAGCTGGCCTCTGACCCATATGCCCTGTCCCACATTCACCTCGATGACCCCTGGATGCCAGGCAGTTACCCCTCGCAGCCTTGCCCATGCTGCTCCCACGCTGTGAACCCCTGGCCCTTTGTGTGGCAGCTGAAAGCCTATGGCGGTTTCTTCTCCGTCACAAACACGCAGAATCAGTGACTCTTGGTCCAAGTCCCGACAGCACTTCGTGCAGACTCTCTTCTAGACTACACACAGCTGGGGGCAGGTGTGGTTCACCGTTCTTTCCCCAAGATCTGCAGACCAGCAAGTTACTGATTCTGCTGTATTGTAGGTAAGCAGCTACGGGTAGATGCCACATGATGTCCCCACATTCCACACCACGGAAATTCAGAAGAAGCATACGGCTTTCGGAAGGCATGGAATGTTCTCCACGGATAATCCCCAATGTGTCAGGCTCCAGAACCTTGAAAGTCCAATGTAAGAGTCATCAGAAGAATCATTCCACTTCTACATGTGGCAGGAGTTGCATCTGATCATAATGTAAGCCCCCTTCTTCCTTCTCAAACACCCCCCCTCCCAATCAACCTCAATCTCAATCTCTCTCATCCAAGGGGATTGCTGGTCACCAAAGTCTTCTCACACTACTCAGATAAAGCCATCTGCCCGGTTTCCGCTGTGCCGTGCGTGTGTACGTCCGATTTCATCCAGCTGTGCCAATGCAGGAAAGAACCAGCTGCTCCATCTCAGGACCTGGGCCTGGGTTTGAGCTCTCCCACCAGTCTCCACAGAGCTAGTACTTAACTACCACACAGCCACTCTGCCTCGACCCTGCTCTCATGCTGGGGCAGGGGTGAGGCAGTGGTGGATTTGGTGCCTGCATGCGGCAGCTTAGGATCCCATTCACAGCCAACGCTCCCGGCACAGCCACGCACCACCATCACTGGAGCTTTGCACGTTGCTATGCGGAACAAGCTTCAGCAGAACTTCCACATCAAGACAGACTAGGAAGAGAGACCTGGAAATCTACCTCTGAAAACGAGTCCATAACCCCTTACATATGGTGCGTGGGGTCGCCACAAGTCAGGGACCAACTCACAGGCTGCTACGCACGACGACAATGTCTCACTCCAGTAAAGTCAACCAGTATTAAGTACAGTGCTATACAAAAGAGCCAGGGGATAAGAAGACGGGGAGACGCTCCGCGCTGTAAGACGCTTTCCTTTAAGGGGGAGACCGCATTCCCGTCTCACAAGCCTCCTTTCTCTCAAATCCCGGCGTTCTGCACTTGTTACACAGACTGAATCACTAATGCCCTGAGCGGCTGGCTTGCACTCACATTTCCCCCAGCATTCCTGGAACGAAGCGAATTTGATCACTGCAGCTAGGTTTACAGAGTCTGGGAGCGGAGACTTAACAAGCTGAAGCTGAAGTCTAAACACGTAAAGAACCAATGAACAATGGCGGTCTTCACGGCACGGTGCTCGAGGAGGCACTGTGGGCAACACACCGCAGAGAGGTAGACTTACTCCGTGGGCGGGCGCAGTCCCCAGTCCGCAGAGAGTGCCATGGACTGGTGAGGCCTCTGTTGGGGACGGCCCCCGGCCACATGGCCGCTGCAAACGCCTCGGCTATTCTGTCCTTTATATAAAACAACGTTCCTCTGATACTGAGATTTTTTTAATAAAGAGAAATCAACTTGGGGTTTGAAAGCAACTTAGGGTTGAATGCTAGCTCCTAAAACTCATCCACAAAGTAGATCAAGCCCCTGCCAGTGCTGGCTACAGGGCTGCAAGGCAACATTTGAGTACCTGTGGAGGCTTACTACACTACTACAGCCTCCGCCCAGCAGCTTCAATGGGCTCAGTGGGCTGAGCAGGAACCTCAAAGTGCAAAAGGCAGAGACAGCCGAAAATATGTGCAGAAAGTACAGAAGAAGTCAAGGGTCTTGTTGCCCTTCCTTTCAGGATCAGACTGGCCTTCTCTGTGCTCCCAGGGCCGAATTCTGCCTTAAAGAAAGTGTTTCCAGAATGGGAGCAGGGCGGGTTTCTATGGGAGCTGATATAAGGAAGGCACCCAGACGACTTCTGTAAGAGAAAGGACCGGGCCTTCCTTTCTACAAAGGAACTACACCACCAGCCCAGCATCACTTCTCGGGCCTTTGTCGCCAATGAGATTAGTTTGTTTGTTTCATTTTCTTGAGTTCCATCCTAAAACCAATCCTGTTAAAATCAAGACAACGTGCACTCTTCCATAGACTGAAAGGTTCAAGGGCAAGTAATTTAAATGCAGAATAAATCTGATCTTGGGAAGCTCTTTAGTCCATGCATATGTGAGAGATGAAGGGCTATTACAGAAGGCACATCTATCAGGTAGAGAGGGTGTGTGTGTGTGTGTGTGTGTGTGTGTGTGTGTGTGTGTGTGTATGTGTAGGGGGCTGGGGGATTTCTTCTGGTAGCGCTGGGAGGGTGCAAATAGTTTGACTGGACTTGGTTTAGAAGCTGAGGGATAATTCTGAATAACATAGAAACAGGGAGAAAGAGAGAGTGCTACTAATTCTCATTAACTCTTCATATGCAATGCACATAAGTCGGATTAAAAGGATGATTTGGGAGACGAGGATGGTGTAGCGGGCTACTAACTGAGCTGCGGATCCCAAGGCCAGCAGTTTGAACCCACCCACTTGTTCTGCAAGAGAAAGACAAGGCAGTCTCCTTCCTGTAAGGAGTTACGGTCCACAGGGGCAGTTCGACCCCGCCCCGCAGGGTCACTGTGAGTCCGAACCGCCTTGATGGCAAGGAGTAGTGCTCTGGTGATAAACCAGGACATCTCTAATGGGAACAAACCTGAACCTAACTCTCGGCAGCCGCCCATGCTGTAGACAGCACTGTGCTCCCGAGGCTTTCAACGGACCCACAGGGCTTTCTTTCACGCGCTGTGGCCAACCCTTCCTTCAGTAGTTGCGTGCACACCAAGGACCAACCTAATAGGAGTAACGGGCATAACTGATGTATGTCTGGATTGTGATGAATTGTATGAGCCCCAATAAAATGATTAAAAAAAAGTAAATGAGGCATCAGCTTCACATTTGTAAGTAACTGGGGATGCTTGCTGACAAATTTTTTTTAAGCCACAGGGTAGGTTCCCAGTTACAGAGCCACACAGTGTGTCAGCCTGTAACTGTGCTCCACAGGGCCATCACGGATTCAGAAGTGGATAGCCGGACCTCTTTTCTGAAGGACCTCTGGGGAGACTCAAACCTTCCATCTTTGGGTGAGCAGCAGAGCGCATTAACCATTTGCATTCTCCTTACCAAAAAACCAGCTAATGCTATTTTTTAAGCACAAGGATATAAAGACCACCTATTTTCCTCACATTAGATCCTAGAAAAACATTGAAGCAGAGCCTGGCTCAATTAGAGTGGCTGGGGTTGTAGGGAGTGGGGGTTGTGAATTTCCATCTGTGTGCACTGAATGTTTGCTAATATTTCTCAGCACAAAGGACTCTTTTATATATACTTTAGCAACGGAGAGGGGGAAACAGGCTTTAAAAAGAACATTTTTGGAAATAATCACAAATAATGATTTGAGCTAGGCTTTCCAATAGAAGCTGACAAGATTTCAAAAGCTATCAATCCACTATCTCCTCTTTGTTCAAACACCCTGTAAACAAATCAATGACATTTGGAGGGGGGAAGGTGACAGCAGTATAGATTAAGGTAGCAGAAGCCAAAGAAGAGACACTGAGGAGAAAGGCTGTAGAGATATTTTCGAAAAGAGAAACCTACTTACACACACGCACACGCACGGATTTAGTTTTATATGCATAACATCTTGCTATGTGTCTACATCTATCCATGTACATATACACAGAAGAGGGCTTCAAAAAATCATGGAAAATTAAATGAGAAGACAATGAGTTTTCAATAAAATTTTAAAGCCCCAGTGTGTATCTATGTCTTTGTATATAAATGTATAGTTGAGAGAACCCATGAGGAAGACCAAGATTTTTAAGCATCATCTGAAAACTGATATGTGAGTAATCATATAATATAAAAGGGATCTGATGAAAAATCTTTTTATAAAATGTTCCCAAGTGTTCCAATTGAGAGTGGTAGGGGAGGAATTTTCAGACTCCTGCTACCTCTAAAAAGCTGTGAGTTAGACCCAGCCCACACATTACCCATCTTAATTAGAATTTCTAGACGGGCATTCCTTACAAAAGAGTCGAAACAGTAATTATAATGTTTCATTCTGGAGAACAAATCAGCGATCAGTGAAAAGACATAATCAAATTCTTATCACCCCCCCCCCATTGGCTACTTTTAATTATGAGTTTCAATTTTAATCTACTGCACAAACAAGCTGGCTGATTTCAATTGTGAATCCCTACTGCTTCCTCAGTTTTGAACTGGCTTTTCATTGAATGCTATGAAATTAGATTTTAGAAGGAGGCTTATGTTCTGGGGGACGTCTGGCAAACCAGCCTGGAATAATGAATCGTGCCGCAGTCGCATTGAGCTCCACGCTAGAAAACCTGCGGATCAGAGTTGCTGTGGTTTCTGTGCCATTAAGGTATGTCTATGCTTTCAGGCTGTTTTGATTCCATGAAGTTTTACACGAGAGTAGTTCTCTTTGTCGAGAAAGGAATAAAGACACAAGTCTTTCCGTAGGTGGGGGGTTTATTCTCCTCCCTCCTCAAACAGTCTGGAGCAGTAAACCCCCAACTTAAACAATCTAAAGTCCTGACTTTCTGGCATAATTGAGTAGACAGGACCCTAAAAAGCTTGATCCAAGTTTACAAAATTTGTATCTGCTAGTTTCAGAGAGCTGTTTCGGAAAGGTGTTTTGGTTTTTTTTTTAATTTCTATTTTGAGTTAAACAAAACTATAAATGACAAAGACATGCTCTCCCTGAGCAAAAGGGGCTGGTTTCT